CCATGCTAGATATGCAGTGTTACTATGTGTCTTGAAAAACTTGATTAGATTCCTTGCAGTCATATTCCTTAATGCACTGCAATTTTAAAGAGTTACTCTAGCATTAGGAATACAAACATGTTCCTAAAGTTAAAGAGATCTATAGACTGTTTATATTTATCTCTACCCCCTTATATATTTAAACAATTCAATATTTACTTACTGTTAGTTCCCTGGCGTGCATGTCTCATTATCAGACCCCCATTGGCTGAGATCATCGTTACTGATGATTTCAACCAATCAGATTAGTAATGATTATCTCAACCAATCAAACATTAGGGAGCTTTTGTGCATGCATAGTTATCTCAGCACTGCACTAATCAGCACCTCCTCATAGAGATTCATTAGTTCAATACGGGGAGTGTTCAGCTTCTAAATGAATAGTTTGAAGACATGGAACATCACTCCTGCAAAGGAAGGGCCTCTGGTCGGTATCTGAGTGAAAGTCACTAGAGGCTGCCTTAGGGACAAATGTAAACACTTTTCTAATACGAGGCAGTGTGAATAAACTACCCTGTTTGGTTCGTTGAATTGGATTCTTCTCGTTTGGTAGATAAAACTACCGAACACCCCTCTAGCTCATTATCTACAAAGAAAACCACAGAATTAAGTGCTCTACCTGTGTGGCCGCTGTTCGTATAGCCGACCACCACGTATTGGAGAAAATGGCGGCCATCATGTTCGCATGAAAAGAGGCAGCGGGACTTGGTCGTCGGCCGTCTGGAACTGATACGAACTGTCTGTTAGGGTGTGTGTCAGTATGTCTGTCAGTGTATATTTCTGTGTGTCCGTATGTCTGTCAGTTTGTGTATCTGTGTGTATGTCACTCAGCATGTGTTTATATGTGTCTGTGTATGTCAGTATGTCTGTCAGTGTATGTGGCTGCGTGTGTCAGTATGTCTGTCAGTGTATGTGTCTGTGTATGTCAGTATGTCTGTCAGTGTGTGTGGCTGCGTGTGTCAGTATGTCTGTCAGTGTATGTGTCTGTGTGTGTCAGTATGTCTCTCAGTGTACATGTGTGTGTGTCAGTATGTCTGTCAGTGTATGTCTTTGTATGTGTTAGTATATCTGTCAATGTTTGTTTGTGTTAGTATGCCGGTTAGTATATATGTCTGCGTGTGTGTCAGTATGTCCATCAGTATGTGTTTGTATGTGTGTCAGTATAACTGGCAGTGTATGTGTATGTGTTCGTCAGTATGTCTGAAAGTATATGTGCCTGTGTATCTGTATGTTGGCATTGTTTGTCAGCGTGTATATATGCATACCTTTATGTGTTTCAGTGTCTGTGTGTGTATTGATATTACAGTATGTGTGTGGCAGTGTATATGTATATGTGCATACATCTCAAAACGCCAGCACTGCACATAAATAGACTCCTGCATTCAAACTTCAACACTACATTAGAAAAAAAACACAGTCAGGCACGGAAACGCCAACACTGCATACAAACACACTTCTGTGTTTTACACAAAAATTAAATATCAATACGCCCCTGCATTTAAAAACCAACACTACACACAAATGCATACATATTACATTCAAAAGTCAACACCACATAAAAAAAAAAAAAACCCTACATTCACACAAACATACTCCATACAATAACATGCTTACATTCAAACACTACTCAGTGCTAATCACAACCCTGCAAGCATGGGAAAATGGTAGAGTCCCAGTTGTCAAATCATTGTTAGAGTTGCATGACAGATGGGGATCTACCTTTTGGCCACCTTTGCGGTAGAAAGGCTAAAAAACAAAAACAAAATGATTGCACCATGGCCCTTTCTACCTTAGATCTTCCACTGCATGGCAGTGGATGGAGTGATTGCATGCCAGGGAGTGGGAGGGGGCAGGG